TTTAAATGGTTATTAAGCATTACGAGTGAAATTACCAAGTTTTATTATGTAGCACAAATCGTATTAGTTTGTTTTGTTAGTACAAAAAGTTGTACTTGTGTTTGTTTAATGAGCATTGCAACAAAGTAACCGTCGAATAAGTTTGGAGGTGCGCTAAAGATGGGAAGCAAAAGCTACTATAAATGAAGATAAGGTGGTGTGACCGTGTGAGCAACAATGGAATTTATTTAGCAATATACTATAGATGAATGCAGACGATAAAATAGTTGGTTGGTTGGTTGGATTAGATTTTGGCAGGAGTCCGAGTAGCCAATTTAAAGGGGGCAGGTGGAGCACGCACATCTAATATCTTTGAACCAAATTCTCTCTTTCTTTTATGTTGGAAGTTGACAATTCATTCCCATGTCCCATCTGCAAGGTGAGATGTATTTAGGATGGCATACAATGCATCTCATGCAAATCAAAGGGGAAAAACAATAAACCATATATCTTGATAGAAATTTGATTGCAAGGTTGGTTCCAAGTCACAATTCAATTCATATGCTTGTAATATGTTTGCTAACTTAAAGTAAGTGCAAACTAATGGTCTTGTTAATAAATATTATGCCCTTTTGCTAACTAATTAAGGATTTGTGCGTGGTAGACTTAATAGTTTTTTTTTTTTCCTCTTATCGTCAAACTTACACTCAGACTAGCATAGTTTGGATCCTCTACATGAAACTGGTACTGATGTGGTAGCGGCATGTCACTTTCGGATGCCTAAGTCGTTTACTTACTTAAAGGAGCAATGAGTACCAAGCTTGCAAAAGAGGAGTTAAGTTACCTTGAGGCAAAAATGAGCGGAGTTCTTTTCTCTTTATGTGTCTAGCCTAAGTGGAATTCTTTAGTGTGTACTGTTGTGACACCGTGCAAGTGGTCATATTTTGGCCATCCAAATTCTGACATTCGATGTTGTCTGACTCATTTTGGGAGATAAAATGTCTGACGCATGCTCCTTGCTTAGTTAGTGCCCATTTTGTCATAAGACTTGGAAACGTGACCAAGTCGTGTTAATGTTTTGTGGACTCATGAGAGGCGCGCCTTATGTTCTGCTCAGTTAGTTTTAAGGACAACTATGGTGGTTCGCTCCGATGTTGGAGCTTTGTTTGATTCTTAGGTAAGTGCCTGAGTACAGTTATTTACCAAAATTGATGGTGTGGCGCCGGTCGCTTCCTTATTAGGCATGTAACATGCACATATGACCAATTTCATCATTTCTTGGCTTATCAACTTTACCATTTGCATGAGCCCTTAATTTTTTATTTTTTTTTCCCATAAGCCTTGGGCTAGTTTCTATTGTTTTATTTTGCATTGGGTTTTTGAGTCCTCATTTCACCGAAATAAGTCTATAGAATTGTTATTTCCGCAATGTTATTTACTTATTAGGCAAACAATTCTTTATGGAAGTAAGATTACCAAGCTACTAGAAAATGAGAACCTTTTAGTTACTTCAGTTGTATGCAACTATTTACATGTTTATTACCACGAGAGATACGCTCATGGTTTTATACAACTCGTGAAAGAGAAATCTTTGTAACGAAAAGGCCTAAATGACATTCTAAGCATATCAAAACTAGTAGCAGACTTGGATATAGTCACATTGACTAGTACTGAAACGGGAAGGCACACTGTTGGAAGAAACGGTCCTCGATTCTTAACTGCCTGGGGAGCACAGGGTTATTAAATATTTTTCTCAATGCCATGTGGGCTTTTCTCTGGATGCGCAATAATAAGTAGGCATTGGCTGTAGGGAAATACTTTGGATGGGCTGAAGCCCACCTCAGTTGGGCCTGGACCCGTGTTTGGATCCTCGGCTCTTGTGGATCTCAACTCCTGTGATTGGACAGTAGTCTCCCTAGGGACTAAGCTTTCCATGACGTTGCTCTGCACCTTTTCTTTTCTCGGATGGAAGAGATGGCTTGAGATTTGGAGAAAGCAAATACGAGTATTAAACTGAGAATTAGAGTTCTATATTTGAAATTCTCCGTAAGAATTCTGAACCAAAATCCTAATTATCCGATGAAATCATAACTTTACAAGCAAATCAAGATGCGAAGAAAATAACAACAAATAGGATGTTATTTGGTTGTTAGTTTTGGTTTCAATATCATACCCCAAAATCATGGGAAAATAATGTAATTAATTTCAGTCGAGATTTTAACCCCTTGTATTTACAGTTTTAGAATTTAGGAATTTATTCTCAGAACACATAAATTATGAAGAAAGTTCATTTAAGTTAGTTGCATAGCGGTTTCTTAATGGATATGTGATTTACGAATAACTTGTGTATAATTCATACATATTTTTTACAAATAACATCCCACTTATGTTTGAATCATATAATTATATGTATAGGGAAAAAAAAATTATAGCCATCGAATTATATTGTAGAAAACAATTACATTATCCTATTTATGATTGAAAATGGAGACATTGAAATAAAAAGAAAGCGAGCTTGGGCAGCAATGCATGAGTCCCAAGAACCCAACAAGCGCGCAGAGCATAACTCTCAAGCGCATGCTTCAGTCACTGTGGCATGTCCACAATTCAGTTGGAGGGCTTTATCTTGAGCTGAAACTACACAGTCAAGGGGTCAATACCAGACTTTCACATGAAAAAAATCTGAATTGAAGGGGTCAATTGAGCCCTATGACCCCACAATGAATCCGCCAGCGTTGATACGTTGCATTTGCAGTCAATGCAACTTAAAAAGAAGAGTAAAATTAATTAAATACCTTCATCGATCTCCTTAATGTCCTTTCATCTACACATAAAATCACCCGAAGTTTATATGAATAACTAATACAAGGCCCAGAAAGAGGCAGGTACATAACAACATATAAAGTAATACGTGCAACCAAAATGAGAGCCGCAATAGAAGATACAATGAGATGTCTACATAAGTTTAGGCTTGAAGGCTGAAAAAACAAACAACATAAAACCCTAATCTCATGTAGCATAAACCAGATTGCCACCGCTGCCACATCCTCGGATGAAGTCAAATTTCGAATTGAGAAACTAGACACCAGATCCAAGTCTCCATCAAGAATCCCTGCAAATATATACAAACAAAGTATCTTATGGGTAGAAAGTGAGGGTAAAGGGTATGTAAAATACCCTTACTATGGCGAAGGCCACATAATACTTAGCCTGGATGAGGATCTGGCATGCCGGTTGGGGAAGGAAATGGATTTGATATCCAATTTTTGATCGAAGCCTGTCGATGCGAGCACTTGATGGAATATCACGACTAAGAAAGAGGGAGGAAGGAAATTAAAGGATAGAAGGCAGAAAAAGCAGACGAAAATGTCGGATAAGGGGCATAAAGCCCATGATAGTTGAGACCCGGCTCAAGGAAAACTGAGATTAGACTCAGGGGAGAACCGAGAATTAAAAAGGAAGGGAGAAAACTAGAAAAGGGAAAGGAAGAGGAGGAGGGATGCTGGGAGGGGGAAGAAGCAGAGGAGATGAGAGGGGAGGAAAAGAGGGAGAGGGCAAAGGAGAGAGAAACTGAGATCTCAAGGGAACAAAGAAGAGAGAGGAAAAGAAGAAAGGAAGGGGTGGATGCCTTCGTCACCCAAGCCAAAGGCTAGGCCCATGTTGAAAGTTTCCTGGGTTTGTGTTTCACACAAAGAATTTTAGAGAGAGAACATGGTAGGCTTTTTAGAGAGAGAGTCGATGTTTATATCCCATATATATTTTTTTGAATTATTATCTATACTAAGAAGAAGTAGTGGGCTTAGCCTCAGAATAGGCTATCAATAATGTGGTTCAAATTCACTTTTAGCGAGAATCGAGCCTAAGATTTCTCGTTTACAATTGAAAAATAATATCACTATACTGTATTATTAAGTGGCTTCATAAATTTGCATTTCGCTGAAGTTGTGTTCGTCCCTCCGAACGATATTACTTGTTCCATTAATTTTCCAATCTCGTGTAACACAAAAAAATAATTATTAATCATATTTTTTTTCGGGTGTGAACAGGTTCATGTACGTATAGTTTTTTTTTATTTTGGAGTATCATCAAAAGCTAAGCAACTTTGCATATATATATATATATATATATATATATTTTTTTTTTCAATACCCACTCTATTTCTCTCGCAACCATTAAAAAATTAGGAACCTTAACGAAAAACTTCCAATACTATTTACTTTAACAAAAAATCACATTTTTACACTAAAAAGTCAATCCTGGTACTATTCATTTTACTTTTTATTTTGTCCTTATCGTTAAAACTAAAAGTTTTCAAACATTTTTTTCATTAGTTTTCCTTAAAAAATTAGGTTCTTTGGTCATAGTATAGTGGATTTTTTGATAAATTTGTACGACCTGGAGTTGTACTCGTGCTCCATCCAAGTGTTATAATATAAGGACCAGGATCCTCTCCTGAGCTAAGGATGAGGATCCTCCTCATCAAGAGATGTAGGCCGTTGGATGAAAATCCAACGGTTACAATTATTATAACTTTAAAAGGATCCCCTGTTTGTAGCCGTTGGATTTTCATCAAACGGCCCACACTGATTGATGAGGAGGATCCTCATCCTTAGCTCAGGAGAGGATCTTGGTCCATAATATAAAAGAAGAGGTCTCACTCGTATGTTCACAAGAGTTCATAATTTTGTTATGAGGGGTCAAATTACTCAAATGAACTCAGTCAACATCTCAACCTATACGTAATGTTTTTTACACATTGGATTATAAGACTTTTCTTATTTTTTTGGTCAAGTGGATTATAGGACATGGACTTTTGAATTTGTAGAAATTTGCTATTTGCCCCACACGTTAAAGGATTACACGTTATATATATATGAATTTTCTTGAAGAACGCGTCAAAGAAAGTCTAAGAAATGACTTAAAAGACTATTTAGTAATTACCAAGTTCTTTCACTTGTATTGTAGCAGCCACCATGGCTGATCAAGAGTTTTGTGACCAAACCGTACGTGCTATATATAGTACTAAAAATGGAATTCAGATCACAGAAAATAGACATTGGACACTCAACCACTAAGAAGTACTCCAAGATTCTCTCATGGCTTCTTGTAACAAGAGTTTCTCTTGCAAATACATGTTGTTGGATCCCAACGATGTGGGATTCTTTGATCTGATTCACATCTTGTTTTCCAGTAATTTGAAGAGGAGGAGGTTTGTCGACTCTTCTATGGATACCGAGGACGACCCTGACCGGAGGTGGCTCATATTTCTCTCCATTGTGGTGCAAAAGTTGCTTCAGTTTGTGGCAACGCCAATGGCAATGATTGGCAGGGGGATCGAGCTCTGCTTGAACCTTTTCTCAAATACTCAAAACTTGGTCGGGCTGCTCCAGAATTTGCTGCGAGGTATATTTAATTTGCATTCATGCAACTATTATTTTTTTTTTTTAACAAATTTTTAGATTTACTTAAATTAATTGGTAACTAATATCTTACCAGTACTCACAGTTGTTGCTTCTCTCAAAATTAATACTCATTCTTATTATCCATAAAATTTGGTCTTAGAAACAGTTTACTAAGGCTATGTTTCGACGTTTTCCAAGTCCGAGGGATTAATGGTAAATTATAAAGGATCATTGAATGTTATGCAGAGGGGATTAGAAAAGTCCTCTATGAGCATTGCAAAGGCATGTGGGAGGGAATTGTAGATGACACTTCCCAAGTAAGGATTAGCAATCCCTCTCATATGCCTATGTAAAGGTCATGTAGGGTTTTCCTTATCCTTTTTGTAATTGTATGTTATGTATTGTGGTCTATTCCTTAATAAATTTGCATCAATCCCTTGAAATTTAGAAAACCCTCAACCAAGCCTAGCCTAAAAGTTTACCTTGCAACATTCTTTTCTGTATTTTTTTTTGTTTGACCTACCTTCTAGCATTTTTAAAACACTCTTCATGTACGTAAGCAACTTATTTTGCTTACCTTTAAATGATGTTCGTCACGAAGAATGGTAAGCGGTCATGGAAACATTTTTAAATGGAGGCAGCACTGCGGGTCCGCTGGCTTCATGAGCAACTTGTATTTCTAAAGTATGTTAACAATTTTAATTACGAAGTTATAATTGGTAGCCGGCATTTCTAAAGCATGGTCCTAGCTCCTACGGGAGAGGGTTGATGCCTTACATGTAATTATTAGCAGTGAGAAGCTATCTCGGCTCATTCTTTTCTGCATTGCTTGAAAAAAATTAGTATTTTTTTTTCCTAAAGTATATATGAAATAAAAATGAGGAGGATGAGTTAGATGATGAGTATGAATAAGTTAGTTTCAGAATTTGAGATCTACAATATAACAAAAATAAAGAAAAAAAATTGATAGTTGCATTAGCTGTTGAGGTATCCCATTTAGTATACATTCGTCCCCCTTGGCAAATTTGGCATGACCATCGTGAACACATGTAGCTAGATTCATATATTGTAGTAATGATATATGAAATGTTTTTAAATTTCTCTACTTTTTTCATTCTGTTAATTGTTATACCACTTGTCGATAGTTTATCTAATCTGTATGAATCATGAGGTCAATAAACAATACAGAAAATAATTAAGATATGTGTTGGACTAAATGGAGTTAATTGAATATTATCCATATAGGTGAGTATATAATACCAAAGAAAGACTCAAGAACGTTCGTGTCGTTCATTGGAAATTTGGACAAGCGAGTAGAGCTGGACAAAAGCATCAAACATGGAGATGGTAGGTATAATGCAGCACTTAGTATGATGGCGTCTAAAATATCGTATGAGAACAAATTCTACATCGAAACTACAGTCCTAGATCACTGGAAGGTATGATAACTTTTTAAATTTACATCTTTAATTAGCTCCGATGCTTCCAATAATTTAGTAATACTGTATTATTTGTAAAACTTATACTTGCCTTTTCTTTTTTTTTTTACATATTATTTTGGCAGATGGAGTTCGTGGGCTCTTACGACTTCCGGAATGGTAAGAATAACTAAAACTACTCAAATACTTTTTTTTTAATGCAATAACATTGAGGTGGAGTTTTAACTAAGACACACAATAGGCTAATAACAATTTGGTATTAAATTCATAATTTGAATATTACTAGACATCAGTACTATAGTGAGCACACACATTAATATATGATAATCTTTTATAAACAAGAAGTCTCACAATGGTGCATATTTGTAAGACTTTTACTTTGAATGATGTAGTTGCAATAATGTGTGTGATAACTTCCGTATTATCATATGCTCGGACAAACTGGCAATAAATTATACTTGTATGTATATGATCAACTATATAAAAACAAAACCTCAACGTTATTATATATTGTCTTGCAGATTATCAAGGAAAATCGACAACACAGGCATGTATTCTACGTGACAGAAGTGCCGACCGTGACATTATTGTTGTAGCCTTTAGAGGCACTGAACCCTTCGATGCAGATGCATGGTGCACTGACCTTGACATCTCCTGGTATAAACTAAAAGGGGTCGGAAAGATCCATGGAGGTTTCATGAAAGCTCTAGGTTTACAGAGAGATGTTGGTTGGCCGGAGCCGGAGAAAATCAAACAAGTGGATAAGAACCCAGGCGGCTTAGCTTACTATGCCGTTAGGGACATGCTGAAAATACTTCTGCTTGAAAATGACAAAGCAAAATTTATAGTAACTGGCCACAGTTTAGGTGGTGCGCTAGCAATTCTCCTTCCAGCAGTTTTAACATTTCACAAGGGAAATGATTCAGAACTCCTGTTGGAGAGGTTGGAGGGAGTTTATACATTTGGGCAACCTAGGGTTGGTGACAAGGTTTTCGGGGAGTACATGGAAAAGAAAATGAAAGAGCATAAGATTAATTATTTTAGGTTCGTTTATGGGAATGACTTGGTGCCGAGGCTGCCTTACGATGACAAGGCCCTAATGTTCAAGCACTTTGGGAAGTGCCTCTACTATAATAGGGAATATGAAGTGCAGGTAACTGCTTCTTCATGATTTCTTTTATCCTATCCAATAAACATGAAAACTGAAAAACAATTACCGAACTAGTTCTTATTTGTTTTAATTGTTAATTATATGTGCAGGTTCTTCCAGAAGAGCCAAATAAGAATTACTTCTCCCCAGAGAAAATAATACCGATGATGGCGAATGCTTTTGGTGAGCTGGTAAGAAGTTTCACCATTCCAGACAAGAAGGGACTGGACTACAAAGAAGGGTGCTTCTTTAAGATGATTAGGTTAATGGGTTTGGTAATGCCAGGAGCAGCAGCACATTGTCCCCAAGATTATGTAAACGCCACCAGATTGGGATCCTCGGATGTGTTTTTATAGCTCAAGTATTTCATATGAAATTAACCAAAAGGCGCACACACACATATATAGTCCTACAACTCTAGTAGGACTTAAATGTAATTTCCCTATTATTTATTCGTTTTAAATACATTGCATTTATATTTGTACAAACGTACGTGTTAGAACCCTACTCTACGTCTTCTACAATTGAACAGAACAACAATACAAACAATCAATATCTCATTAACTGCCCTTCTTCTCTTACAATATACTATTTAAGCTAATACCCAACTCTGTCTGTCACTACAAGATGATGCCATCTGGCATCCTAATAGCACGGGGCATATCCAAATATTGAGATTCATATTATTTAGAGTTTTTATCACAAATAATCTTTGAAATTGATCCACTCCATTAAGATGATCATTGAAATTGAAAATCGATCAATGTAGTCCTTGAAAATGGATATTGCAAATCAATGTGATCATTCTGTCACAATTCCGTCATATATTCCGTTATGTGCTGATGTGGGGCATGACTAAGTCCCACAAATCTAATTAAATATTATTATATGAATTAAAAATATTTAACTTTTTATTTTTATATATTTGAAAATATTTAAAAAAAAAGAAAAAAAAACAAAGGAGATGATTGTTCATCATCTTCTTCCCCTCCCACCCTCCCACTATGTCCCCGTCGCACATCTTTGTACTTTTTTTCTTAAAAAATTAAATATTTCCCTCCCATCACAACCCGTGGCTGCACTGCTCGAAATCGAACATGAAGAAGCCTGAAAACTGAAATCTATGCCACCAATTTGAACCCCCAGTTGAAATATCGAGAGGAAATTGGACATGGGTCTGGGTTGGTGCTATGGGTGCCAACCCACTAGACAGAGCGCTCAGGTTGCGCACGTCAATTAAACACAAAATAAGGATGGTGCTTGAACCAGGCTTGTGCCTGAGACTTGGATGGTGCCTGAGCCGGGCTTGAAGAACCCAGAAAAACCCAGATGAAAAACACAAATCAAGCTGAAAAAAGACGAAGAAGACGACATCTTTTTTTTTTTTTTTTTTTTTTTTTTTTCTCTTGAGTAAATTACACAGAACTACCTCAACTATTGGTCCATTAATAGTTTCATACCTCATCTTTAAAAAGTTTCAATGTCATACCTTATGTACGAATTTGTTGCAATGTTCTACCTCTGTTACGCTGTCTGTCAAGTCCTCCATTATATACTGACGTGGTTGAAGCTGGGTCCCACCATCTCCACATATGAACTTCCACGTAGATTTCTTGCCAAAATTAATTTCCACATCATTTAAAAAAAATTCAACATAATTTTTTCCCGCCAAAAGTAGTCCACGTCAGTTAAAAAAAATTTAATTTTTTTAAAGGGTCCAATTTTGAAAGATAATACAACCTAAAAAAACCAAATGGAAATTCTACATAAACACTTGATCCCACATCAACACATGATGTAAGCTAGAGATGAATACAAATCCTACATAAACACATGATATAACCAAAAGATGAACACAAAGTCCACCTCAAACAAAACATTTGCAAAGACCAAAAGATGAACTGTAATTCATATAACATGTTAATCCATCTAACATTTACAAAGATATGCATTAGACATCCTTAAATATCCCAAAATGCACAGCGCACCGATTCAAAAAACCTACTGAAATCCATCTAGCAAAACAGTGCATATTCAGGGTTACAAATCAGTTAAAAAAAACCAAAAGAAATTCAATGTTTGTGATGTCTAATTCCAGAACCCATGTACCATAATTTTAGTTCCTATTGCACATAAACATGAACTAAAAAACAGTAATTTGTTACAATTTTTGGCATCTTTAGGTATTGGTTTGCCTTGTATTTCTCTGCTTGGTGGCTTTTGGTGAATTAGCTTCAAGATTTGCAGATGAACCATCCCCTGTTTGTGATGCCTAATTTCAATCTTCATTACAAAAGGTTAGATGCAAAGCAAGGTTATAAACTAAACTTGCTGTTGTAAACTACAAAGGAAAAGATTAAGTTTTTACATTAGATTTCCTTGTCCTCTTTCTAGGTGCAGCTTTTGCTGATGCTAATGCTCTCCCTTGTGCTGATGTGGATGCTTAAAACAAAGAATAAAATCATTCATTAAAGGATTAAAGGATTAAGCCCGTGTTTGTTTGACCTTCTTATGTGTCATTGGACTAGACTAGATTAATTGTTTGTCCAGTCTTATGTTTGTTGTTTACACTGGACTAGTTTTAATGGGACTAACGAGGACTCACCCCGACTGAACGTTTCACTAAATGTTCTTAGCGAGACCCTTCAATTTCAAGCGGACTGCTAGTCCCGTTCTCTCCCCCGCCGCTGATCCCTTAACGTCTCCTTTCTCCTTTGCTGCTTCACCCTCTCCCTTCTCCTTCGCATCTTCACCACTCCCTTCTCCTTTGCACCTTCGTCCACTCCCTTGGGCCTTTACTATCCCACCCAAAAGCCTAAACCCAGACTCAAACAAAAACTGAAAAACAATCCACTGATTCCCTTCCTTTCTTCTTCGTTCAATTCACTATCTCCTTTTTTCAGCAAAATCGCCATGGTTGTAACCACCAGACCATCACCAGACGACCATCATCAGAAGCTCACCGTCGATCTTCGCGTTCTCGAGCGACCCAGACGCAAGTCGGGACCAAAAGCGTACCAAATGCTCAAACACCTGCGAATCCCCACACAAATTCAAAACAAAAATGAAAAATCACTACAGAACCCTGAGATTTTCCGAGAAATTCAGAGGAGGCGCTGGGTGGAGAACTCCGATGAATCCTCCTCGTGAATCTTCTGCATAAGGAAAAGAGGGAGAGGTTAGGGATAAGTTGACGGAGGAAAAAAGGGAGGGAGGAGACAGTACCCGGAAGAAAATAGGGAGAAGTAAGGAGAGAGAGGAAGAATATTCTGGAAAAATGGTGAAACAAAATAAAAAGAGGGAGATGAGAGGGAGAATGGTGGAGGAAAAGATGAATAGGCTAAAGAGAGATAATTTTAGGAAAAATAAAAAAAGATTTTGGTCTTTACGGAATGGTATATGATTCTAGAAACAAATAAAATGATAAATTAATAATAAAATATTAATAAATATAGATAAAATAATATAATATTTGAGTTAGATAATTATCCAGCTTCTTAGTCCGACATTGCACCAAACGCTTCACTAAGTTAGTCCAGCTTAATCTACTCTAAGCCAGTCCAGTTTAGTCCCTAAAGTTAGTCCAGTCCAAAATAGTCGGGTGCAACAAACGCACTCTAAAGGATTAAGGATTAAATGATTAAAGGATTAAAGGATTAAAGAAAGTACAAAATGTTACATGTTTGTTCCTTGGAGGAAGATGTCGATGATGGGTCCTTGAATTATGTCCTTCTTGCTTGCATATAGTACATTTCAAAGCACCTTGCCCTTTCCTTCCTAGCTTAAGTAGCTTAGGAGGACCATTAAGATTATTTGGTGGGTTGGTGGGAGTTTGTTCACCATATTTCTCCAATTTAGCAGCTTCTTTGTTTCTCTTCTTCCTTGGTCTTCCAGGTTGCCTTGTGTATAATGGAGGCAAGATTGGTGGGTTTTCATTATCCTCCCATAATGACATACCATTCATTGGCATTACTAAGTGAAAATAAACTTCCAAGTACCGTGCCTTTGAATAATAAGCATCCACATAATCCTCAGGTTTTTCTCTCTTGAAATGGATGATAGATATTGCATGGTTGCAAGGTATTCCCATCAAGTCATACTTCCTACAAGAGCATGTCTTCTCAACCAAGTCCACCACATATTGTTCCCCACCTCTAACATCCACTTGAAATTTGGTCCCTCCTGACCATTATGCAATGCACCTGCCACTTAAAAGTTTGGCTTCCTCCAACTTCTTCTTAATATTAAGGCAGAGATCTCCTACTTGCTTCATCATTATACCTCACCTCATTTGAATTCTCTTCATCAACATAGTGTGAATCATTTGTAGCATAGTTATAATAGGTTTTTGCCTTAACACTATTATGACTGCAATGAATGATTCACACAAATTATTCAGCAATATGTCACACTTTTGATAGGTTTCAAAGTGGGACTTGCTCCATTGAGTTGCAGGCTTCTTCACTAGCCATTTGTAGGCCTTTTCATCTAGTTTCTTAACCTCCTCCATTGCTTTTTTGAAGTGTGGAACCCTTGTTGTTTTGGCAACTGCCGATGGAGCATCTTTCAAAGTTTTCCCCTTAAACAAATTCTTATAGTTTGTGTACAAATGCCTGACACAGAATCAGTGGTGGCATATGGGGAGAACCTTTTGAAATGCTGGAATTAGCCCTTTTTGCTTGTCACTGATAAATGTCCACTCATTTTGGTTTCTATACCCTTATCATAAGCTAACAGTTGTAAGAACCAAATCCAAGCTACCTTATTTTGCATTTCCACCACTGCATAAGCAATAAACCATGTCTCATCGTTTGGATCAATGCCAACATCACATAGCAATTGCCTTCCATGTAAAACCTTTAAGTGGCACCCATCTAAACCTATTAAAGGTCTACATCCTGCCTTAAAGCCTTCTTTGCATGCCCCCAAGCAAACATATATCCTCTGAAACCTTTCCCCATCTAACTTCAACTTCACAGTGCTTCCAGGGTTAGTCCTTCTTACTTCCTCAGCAAAATCCCACAGTTTTGTATATTGCTTTGCATGTTTCCCTTCAATAATCTTGAAAGCTTTATCCAATGCCCTATAAGCCTTCATCTTTGTACACATATGATTCGACTCGGATTCCACAGTGGATAAAAAAGATTCGACAAGCCATGTGGGATTGAGCTTTATTCGATCCAAGTACAAATCTGTGAGTAAAGAAGCAGTCATGTTCTTATTTGCCCAAGTCCTCCCACAAGTATGGTGATCAAGGACTATCTTGAATTGGATGCTATTTGATCCATGCATCTTGCCAGCAACACATATCCAAGGGCAATCTTTTGCACACTTGACAGTAATCTTCAACTTCTCATTCCTATGAAAATGAATTTCCCTATATCCATTCACTAAGAAATACATCATAACGGCTCTCTTGAATTGTACACAGTCTCTGAAAATAAACCGTAGAGTAAGCTCTGGATTCTTCATGTCCGTTTTCTCATTAAACTCTGGTAATGCTTTTTTTTTTTTGCCTCTTTCCTTATCTTTAGAGTGTACACTTTCCAGATCATCAGAATTATAATTT